TACGTAAAAACGTGCCCAACATGCGCGGCAGCAAAACCATGGTCAGGGAAACCACTCGGTCGATTACAATCGGTGGCTGATCCTAGTCGTCCGTGGGAGGAGGTGGTGATGGATTTTATAGTGGACCTTCCACCCAGCAATGGACATACCGTTATTTGGACAGTAGTAGACCTATTTTCAAAGCAGGCGCATTTTATACCCTGTCGGGGTTTACCATCTGCCCGACGATTGACAGACATGTTTATACAACATATCTACCACCTTCACGGGGTCCCAAAGCATATTTTATCAGATCGGGGTGTCCAGTTCACCGCCCAGTTTTGGAGGTCTTTCATTCATAGGATAGGGTCTACTCAAGGATTAAGTTCAGCCTTCCATCCCAGTACAAATGGAGCAGCTGAACAGGCTAATGCCGCTGTGGAACGATATCTACGTTGCTACGTTTCGTATCAGCAAACTGATTGGTCTGCCTTACTCCCGTTCGCTGAAGTCACGTACAACAATATCAGCCACCATAGCACGGGATTTTCTCCTTTCCAAATCATCTATGGAAGAGAATTCCCTGCCATACCTGAGGTAGAACCTCCAGCTACAGGGGTATCTACGCATTCCGGTTGGGCCGACAAGATCCGACAAACGTGGCCAGCGGTAAAAACGGCGCTTCAGAAAGCAACAAATGAATACAAACTTTATGTTGATAAAAAAAGAGCCGACCCAAAACTGTTTTCTGTATGGGATCACGTGTATCTATCTACAAAATACTTGAAATTGCGATTACCTAGTAGGAAACTAGGTCCCAAATACATAGGTCCTTTTCCTATAACACGTGTGATCAACCCTGTCACTGTCATGCTTAAGCTACCTTCACTGTTAGGAAAAATACATCCTGTTTTTCATAGCAGCCTCCTTAAACCTGTCAAAGAGGAAAGGCCCACACATCAGCCTGTTTCCCCGGGACCGAGTCATTCAGATCAATATGAGATAGATAAAGTGTTGGATTCACGTCTACATAGAGGCAGGATACAGTAATTAGTACGGTGGAAGGGTTATCCACTAGCACAAGCATCTTGGGTGGCAGCTCCAGATGTTCATGCCGACCGGTTGCTCCGTCGGTATCATCGTAAATATCCAAATAAACCAGGTCCCAGTGGGTAGAACGGTTGCTATGCTAACATCTTTATTTTATTTCCTGCAGGTGGACTCCTGGTAGAGAGGAGCTGCCTGTCAAGCCTCGGTTGGGTCTCGTCATCACTGGGGAGGACGACGAGGAGGGGGCAAGCTGCTGGACTCTCCGGGGGCGTGTCATCAGCTGTTTGAGAAGTCTTTACCACTCGTGCACAAAACGAAGCAAACTCTTTCATCGGAGATAGGGGGGGCATGGAATTTGCAGATGACGCTGCCTTGTGATGTAACAGAGGCGCACTCCTCCTACAGGCCTGCTAGGGGAAGGAGGGGTGATGCTAACTGTTTAATTGCCACTTGATTTATTGCTGCGTATATAAAAGGCGCTACACTGTGATTGCGTGTAGCGCTAACTTTAAACCTTGTTTCCGGCTTGTGCCTGTCTCCTGCCTGTGTTTGCTGTGCTGAACCTAATTAAAGGATTGCAACTGCTTTATTCCATTCTGGTGTTGGCTTGTTTCCAGTGCAGTTGGGTGGACTGGCCGAGAGTCATACTGTATCTCTGGAACTTCGTTATCTGCCTTCCTTGGATTTATTATGGACTGGACTTGACAATACTTTGGCTTTGTGAATTTATTTTGGTTTATCTGACAGAGGAGGAACACCTCCCTCTGTGAGTAAAGTTTTTGGCAAGCAGCTACTGGGTTGCTGCCAATTCTGTTATCGAAGGAAATTATTGTCTGCAAGTTTATTTTAACTCCTGGCTGACTGTTTGTGTGCATGTGTGAGACGGGGACAGAACAAAACCCTATACCATTTCAGACAAACGATACTCTTAAAAACTTCCAGTGTTGGAGCATTGACAACTTCTGGAGTCAAGTTGTTCCATTGGTTAATTGTTCTAAATGTCAGGAATTTTTTCCTTAGTTCTAGATTGCTTCTCTCCTTGATTATGTTCTGATCCATTGATTCTTTCAGAAAACAATTGAATAGTAGGAAGGAATTCTACAAAGCCTCGGGAAACAAATGCTCACATTGAACCTAATCCTTTAAAACACTAAAATATTTTTTAGAATTCAATTAAAAGGAATAAAAGGCATGCTTCTGGCTTTGTATAATAAGCTGGGATGACCAATGCAGGTTGAAATGGACATTCTAAAGAAACTTAAGGTATTTACGCCTGCAAATCCTCCAGCAAACAAAAAAGTCATTGGCACCCGATGGGTCTACAGAATCAAAAAGAAGCCAAATGGTGAGTCATTGTACAAGGTCAGACTTGTAGCTCAGGGTTTCGCTCAACGTTATCCTGAGGACTACACAAATACCTACTCACCGACAGTCCGGACTGAAAGTGTAAAAATTGCTTTAGCCACCGCCACTATTCTTGGTTTAGAAGTTTTCCAGTTCGATGTTGACGCGGCTTATCTACATGCTAGATGAGGAGATCTACGTGAAAGGTCCTCCAGGGTTCCGACAGCAAGAAGGGGATACCTGGTTTCTACACAAAAGTCTTTATGTTCTGAAACAGTCTGGTTTAATGTGGTACTTATGTCTTACTGACAAACTAAATTCAATGGGCTTTATTAAGTCCGAAACTGATGAATGCGTGTTTACAAAAAGATCTGATAATATATATGAGATAGTTCTTGTTTATGTTGATGATATTGTTTATATTGGTCCAAATAAGCAGATGAGTGAGAATTTTGCTAAAGCTTTGCAGAGATATTTCACATTGAAATCTTTAGGTCATGTTAACACTTATTTAGGTGTTCAGGTCGTCAAAACGCAGAAGGGGTTTAGTCTTTCACAAGAGGATAAAATTGAGCAAATTTTGCATCATTGCAACATGAAAGATGCTAATACAGTACGCATACCCATGCAAACAGATTTTCACAACTTGGCACATGAACCAAGACCTGAGTTCGAGGATCAAACACTCTATCGTTCAGTTATTGGGTCACTGTTGTATATTAGTAGTTGGACTAGACCCAACATTGCACTTAGTGTTAATCTCTTGTCCCGACACGTAGGTAAGGCAAAACAGTTTCATTGGACATGTGTTAAGAAATTATTGAAATACCTAAAGCACACTAAAAATATGAGGTTATTGTCAGAACGGACATATACTGATCATGCAGAATTATGTTGTTATGCAGATTCTGATTGGGTGAGTGATAAGAAATCACGTAAAAATACTTCAGGTTATATGATGTTCTTAAATGGATGTCCTATTTACTGGCATGTGCCAAAACAGAAATTTGTTTCTTGTTCGTCTACTGAGGCTGAATATGCTTGTGTTTCAGATGCATGTAATTCCCTAACATGGTTTGATGCTTTGGTCACAGATATCTGGACACACCCGATCCGACCGATCACTGTGATGGAAGACAATGAATCTGTGGTTTATATTTCTGAATCACGTTTCACGGGTTCTAGGTCCAGACACATTGACATCCGTTATAAAAATATAAAACAATTAGTGAAACAAGGTTTTGTAAAATTGCAGTATGTGCCTACACATGATCAGATTGCTGATATGCTCAACAAACCACTTCCAGCAGCTCAGCACGAGTATCTGTGTAAGAAGATGTGCCTTACCTGAGTGCCTTAACTGATGTCCGCTCAACTGACAAAGAAGGGGTTGTCACTGTGTTATGTGTTTGCCAGCTGAGCGTCCATTCTGAGCATTACGGTAGCCTGCCAGACAACTTTATCACGTCTCTGTAGCAAAAGAGATAAGACTGTCTTATCTCTGTCTTATCTCTGAGCTACTGCGCATGTCCAAGTTTAAGGAAGAAACTTCCTGATCTTTTCTTTTGTCCGGTAATGATGTAGTTAGTAAGTCTGTTTTATTTCTTTATAATAAAATGTTTCTTAGAATATATTTCAGGCTTTCTTTCTTTAAAGTATACAGCATGGAAAAACAAGATCCATCCGCCTCTAATCAAGGGCAAATACCCCAGGGGGGAGTATCGAAGCTGATTTACGCTTCGACACAAAAGTCTATTACATATACCAATTGACATGCTTATCCAATAACTCTATTTATAGTTCGATTTGACATCCAATTATACCATTGACTCCAAGACATATAGTAATCTGTGTCCCCCCGTCCTTTCAGGAACATAGTAAGCCGATTTGATTCCGCACAATTCATTATTTTCTGAATTACTACTTGTTCAGGTGGGCTAATATCCATCTTCCAGTATTGGGCCCATGCCAATCTTGCAGCTGTTGTTATATGCAGCAGCAGGTACCATGCCGTTCTATTAACATTTTCGGGTCTTATCCCTAACAAAAATACCTCAGGATGCAATTGTATACACTGCCCCAACATTTCATTGAGCCACTTCAGAATATTCTTCAAAAATTTCATTGCCTCTCGGCAGGTCCACCATTGGTGGAAATATGTGCCTTCTTTAACGCCACATTTCCAACAGACTGAGGGTGTTCCAGGGAACATTTTTGCGAGTCTGGCCAGCGGTAAATGCCATTGATATGCCATTTTATATATATTTTCTTTATATCCTATTGACTGGGTTAATTTCATATTCTTAGTCCAAATTTCGCTCCACCTCTCAGGCTCTATTGAATAACCTAGATTCTTCTCCCAGGCATGAACCGAATTCTTCACACCTTCCTCACCTACCTCCATAGCCATAAAGAATTTATAACATTTTGATAATATCTTTTCATCCACCCCCAATAATATTCTATCCAAAATCTGCATCTCTCGGATAATCCCAAGTCTCTGTCTATCTGTCATATAACTGCTAATTTGCATGTACGTCCAAACTTTATTTCTACATAGAGCACTGGGTCTCACTGAGGACGACTAGAAGGCAAGAAATGAAAAACACTGCATGATTATTGCTGAAAATGGGAATATTTATTTATTTATCTATTTATTTATTCATTCATTCAATTTGCACATCTACCCAACTCAACCAATTCACTCCTACTATGACCAGTTATAGCACTTGAGTAAGGCATTATTAAATGGATCTGTTTCTTCTTCTCTGTCATGTTTTAGAAATATCATGAGATACTAAACATGCCTCAAAGATAAATATGTTTCCCAACCCGGCATGAATCAGAGATTTTTGTTTCTTATCATATTTTCTTTACAATTAAGATGGGGCCTCAGTAGAATAATGTAGCATTTGGGGAAAAAGATGCAAGCCAAGAGACCAGCCCCAGAGGCCAAGATGGAGAAGATCTCCACGGCCACCATGGACTTCCCTTTAGTGCTCAGGTAGGTGGGGAGGAAGGAGATCCAAACGCTGCAAAAGACCAGCATGCTAAAAGTAATGAACTTGGCTTCATTAAAACTATCAGGCAATTTCCTAGCCAAAAAGGCCATGATAAAACTCACGAGGGCCAGAAACCCCAGGTAGGCCAGGACAGTGTAAAACATGGAAGCTGAGCCTTCATTACATTCCAAGATTGTCTCTCCTATCAAGGAGTGGAAATCCAAGTTAGGAGACGGGGGAGAGGTTATCAACCAGATGGCACAAAGAACTACTTGGAAAAGAGGACAGGATACAACAATGCAATTGGTCAGTGATTTTCCTAAGAATTTCCTTGCCTTGTTCCCTGGCTTGGTAGCCATAAAAGCTAGAACCACCATGACAGTCTTTGCCAAGACAGAGGAAACTGCAAGAGAAAAGAGAATGGCAAAGGCAGTTTGTCGGAAGAGACAGGTGAGCTTCCTCGGTTGACCAATGAAAAGGAATGAGCAGAGGAAGCAGAGCAGGAGGGAGACCAGGAGGAGGTAGGTGAGATCATGGTTGTTGGCCTTGACGATCGGTGTGTCACGATGCTTATGGAAAATTGCTAGGACTCCCAATGCGATCAAAGAGAGAGAAAGAGTAAGAGATGCTAAAGTGTATCCCAGGGTATCTTCATAGGAAAGGAAGTGGATCTTCTTGGCAATGCAGTGGTCTTTGTCCTTGTTGGGATATTGGTCTTCTGGACAAAGGTCACAGTGAACTGCATCTGAAAACAAGAATCTTTGTCTTAAGTATTTCGGAGGCACCCACAGTTAGCATTATCTCCAATCCAGCCTATGAACTCATGTGTGACTCTTTTCTGTTAGGTCCAATTCAAGAAGAATGTAAAGAAAGAATCCCATAGACAATTTAGGATGCCTTTAACGGCAAATTGTCCTTGATTCCAAATGCCTGAGAATTAAATCATGTTAAGGGAGCACGCACCCACTGTCTTCAAGCGGTAGAGTGCTCCGGCCCCCAAGGCTCCACCCGTTCTCCAGGTAGTACAGACCTTCAGGGCCCGGGCCTTCGCCTGATGTTGTGCAATGCCAGGTCTGTAGTAAATAAAGCCCCCCTCATCTGTGATCTTGTTTACGAGGGGGGAGCGGACCTGGCGGGTATTACGGAGACCTGGTTGGGCCCAGAGGGAGGAGTCCCTCTGGTAGAAATGTGCCCACCAGGTTTCCACGCATTCCATCAGCCAAGGTCACAGGGGAGGGGTGGGGGAGTAGCGGTTATTATTAGAGAAGGCCTTAGGCCGAGGGAGACCACTGTACCTCAGACAGCTGGTTGTGAGTCCCTCCTTGTGAAGTGGGGCCACGGGGTTCAAATGGGTTTGCTGATCATGTACCTGGCTCCCTGCCACATGGCGGCAGCCCTGCCCGAGCTACTCAACGTTATTGCTGCGGTGGCGGTTGATACCCCCAGACTTATGGTCATGGGGGATTTCAACCTGCCATCCGTGGGTGAGGTGTCTGAGGTGGCTCGGGAGTTCATGGCTTCCATGACGGCCATGGACCTGACCCAACTAATTCATGGCCCTACGCACACTGGGGGAAACACACTGGACTTGGTTTTTGTCTCTGGACAGTGGTTGAGTGATCTCGAGATAGGGGATATAGTCATCGAGCCCTTGTCATGGTCAGATCACTCGCTCCTTCGCCTTGACCTTCAAACCACGGCACCCCGCTGCAGGGAGGCGGAACCGGTAAGTTGGTACCGCCCCAGGCGCCTGATGGAACCTGATAGGTTCCAGATGGAGCTTGGGCCAATCCCGGAGGTTCTGGCTCACGCCTCATCTGGGGACCTAGTGGCCGCCTGGGATAGGGCGGCTGCTGGAGCCCTGGATCGAGTCGTGCCTTTGCGGCCTCTGACCCGGCGCCGATAATGCCTGGCTCCTTGGTTCACCAAGGAGCTGAGGGAGATGAAGCGCCGGAAAAGATGCCTAGAGAGCTGTTGGAGGGCTAGTCTTTCTGAATCTGACCGAACACTGGTAAGATCTCATATTAGGAGTTACCTAGTGGCGATAAAAGCAGCAAAATGTACTCATTTTACTGCTCTTATTGCGTCATCAGGTAATTGCCCAGCCACCCTGTTTAGGGTGACCCGCTCCCTGCTCCACCAAGAAGCGCGGGAGGACCCCTTGGAGGGAAGAGCCGAGGATTTTGTTCAGTATCTGTATGACAAAATCACTCAGATTCGGGCAGGTCTGGACTCTGACAGGATAGATCCAGCGAGGGTAACGGAGACAGGTCTTGAGACTGTTATCTGGGATGAGTTTGATCCTGTGACCCCAGATGACATGGACAGGATTCTGGGTAGATTGAACGCGACCACATGTTTGTTGGACCCGTGTCCCTCCTGGTTAGTGCTGGCTTCCTCGGAGGTGATGCAAGGCTGGCTCCAGGGGATTATAAATGCTTCGTTGGGTGAGGGCGTCTTTCCTGCTGCCTTGAAAGAGGCAGTGGTAAGGCCTCTCCTCAAGAAGCCTTCCCTGGACCCGGCAGTATTGGCTAATTATCGTCCAGTCTCCAACCTTTGCTTCGTTGCGAAGGTTGTTGAGAGTGTGGTTGCGCGACAGCTACCCCAGTACCTGGATGAAGCGTCGTATCTAGATCCATTCCAGTCGGGCTTCAGGCCTGGGTACAGCACGGAAACGGCATTGGTCGCGTTGGTTGATGATCTCTGGAGGGCTCGGGACAGGGGTTGTTCCTCTGTCCTGGTCCTGTTAGACCTCTCAGCGGCTTTTGATACCATCGACCATGGTATCATGCTGCACCGGCTGGAAGGGTTGGGGGTGGGAGGCACCGTTTTACGGTGGTTCTCCTCCTTTCTCTCTGACCGGTCGCAGTCTGTGTTGACAGGGGGGCAGAGATCGACCCCGAGGCCCCTTATATGTGGGGTGCCGCAGGGATCGGTTCTCTCGCCCCTTCTGTTATGTAAAGCCGCTGGGCGAGATCATCCATGGTTTCGGGGTGAAGTACCATCTGTACGCTGACGACACCCAGCTGTACATCTCCACCCCGGACCACCCCAACGATGCCCTTGAAGTGATGTCCCAGTGCCTGGAGGCCGTACGGATCTGGATGGGGAGAAACGGGCTCAGGCTCAACCCATCCAAGACCGAGTGGCTGTGGTTTCCGACGTCCTGATATAGTCAGCTGGCGCCATCGCTGGCTATTGGGGGCGAATCATTGGCCCCCACGGAAAGGGCTCGTAACTTGGGCGTCCTCCTGGACTCACGGCTGTCTTTAGAAGAGCACTTGATGGCCGTGACCGGGAGGATTTTTCATCAGGTTCGCCTGATTCGGCAGTTGCGTCCCTTTCTAGATCGGGACTCGTTACGCACAGTCACTCATGCCCTCGTCACCTCTCGTCTGGACTATTGTAATGCTCTCTACATGGTGCTCCCCTTGAGGTGCACCCGGAGGCTCCAACTGGCGCAGAGTGCGGCCGCGTGGGTGGTTATGGGAGCAACATGGAGCTCCCATGTAACACCTCTCCTGCGCGAGCTGCACTGGCCCCTGGTGGTCTTCCGGGTGCACTTCAAGGTTCTGGTTACCACCTTTAAAGCGCTCCATGGCTTAGGACCTGGTTACTTACGGGACCGCCTACTACCATCAACAGCCTCCCACCGACCAGTACGCTCCCACAGAGAGGGGCTCCTCCAGGTGCCGTCGGCCAAACAATGTCGGCTGTCGGCCCCTAGGGGGAGAGCCTTCTCTGTGGGGGCACCTACGATCTGGAATGAGCTCCCCCCAGAGATACGGAGGATTCCGGATCTGCGCACCTTCCGCCGCGAGTTGAAGACGCTTTTATTTCATCAAGCTGGCCTCGCCTAAATCTTCTCCCTTTTAAGTGTAAATTTTAAATTTTTAATGTATTTTAAAATATGGGTATCTTAAATTATGGGTATTAATTCAGCCAAATTTATTTAATTCATTTTATTCGATTTTAAATTTTGTATATCTATGTGTTTTATTTCATGGCTGTGCACCGCCCTGAGTCCTTCGGGAGTAGGGCGGTATAGAAATTCAATAAAATAAAATAAATAAATAAATAAAATAAATGCCTGGAGATTAGATGTCCTTCTCCTGTCACTGGGCATTTATATTATTATTTTGGTTTTCTTTGTGAGTGAAAAATTGGCACTTCATTTTTTCCCCCTCTTTATATTTAAAGTCTAAGAAGATTGACTGATCTATCAGTCAGGAATCCTGCTATTTGCTGTTTTATCTCAGGGGTGAAATCCAGCAGGTTCTGACAGGTTTTGGAGAACCAGTAGTGGAAATTGTGAGCAGTTCAGAGAACCGGTAGCAGAAATTTTGACTAGTTCAGAGAACTGGCAAATACCACCTTTGCCCGCCCCCAGAGTAGGTTGGGAATGGAGATTTTGCAATATCCTTCCTCTGGAGTGGGGTTGGAATGGAGAGTTTCCCCTGCCACGCCCACCAAGCCACACCCACCAAGCTACACCACGCCCACAGATCCAGTGGTAAAAAAAAATGGATTTCACCACTGCATTATCTGTTGGTGTGTCATAAGACCATCAGGTGACACACACACACGGAGATGCACAAGTGCGCACACACAGAGATGTTGAACCGGAGTGGGTGAGGAAATGACTCAATTTTTCCTATCATCCTCTCAGAATTTTTTTTTTCAGAGAGGAGCTAACAGACATTGGTAGATTGATCCATTTTCCTGACAGGCTACAAGTTTCCAGGGAGATTGAGGGTCCTGATAGAAGCAGCACTATAAGGAATATCAGTCTTGAAAACCTGGACACACTGTGCCATTCATTCCGAAAAAGGATTAGTAGTTGGTTTTCCCATTGTTATGGAACAGGACGTATGGAAAGGACAGCCATTTTTTTTACAAATTGCTGCTTTGAATCCACCCTGGGTGAGGAGAGCAGTCCTGCCAGGGTGGGAAGTTAGACTGTGCAGGCAGGACAATTTAAATCTGTATTATCTGTAGGGCCAAACCTAGCACCCCCTGACTCTGTGGTTACTTCCCCAAACCCCCATAACTTTAACCTTAGACTGTCTACTGTTGACCTCACCCCATTCCTAAGAGGTCTGTGCCTATCCTACTGTCTCCATTTATTCATATCCTCATCCTGTATTCATAATCATGTTTGTATTCATATCTGTTATCTTATACGTGTTTGACAAATAAATAAATGACCAGAAAGCTCTTAATATTTTGATCTACTGAATGTCTTCCTTGATCCATTCGAAGGGTCCTCTACCTGTCTGATTAGAAATTATATTTTACTCTTGATACTGTTTCCAGAAATCACCCAAAACTTCTTAGTGTATTGATCCAACGAATGGCTTCCTGGATCCTGAAAGTTCTACATTTCCAGTATACTCTACCTGTCTGATTAGAAATGGCCCCTTCTGGACAAGGGGCACATTGGTAGCAGCAAATCTGCTCGCCCTCTGGGACATGTCTCCTCTCTCCTGCCTGGCACCTCTTCAGGCCACACCTGGCAAAGGGCACCTTCTACAAGAGAAAAGAAAGACTGGAGATAGTGTTATTTGATCACCTGATTGTAGGGACTCTGCAATGGCCATGATTTTGAGGACCAGGCATAAGTACTATCCATTTGGTGCTGTCATAACTTCAAATAGTCCCTAGAGGAATGGTTGATCAATGCCTTTGAGTTACAGTCACTCAATCAGAATCAGAACAGAGCTGGAAGAAACCTTGGAGGTCTTCTAATCCGACTCCCTGCTCAAGCAGGAGACACTATACCATCTCAGACAAGTGACTGTCTTATCTCTTCTTAAAAGCCTCCAGTGATGAAGCACCTACAACGTCTGAAGGCAAGTTATTCCATTGGTTAATTGTATTCACTGTTAGGAAGTTTCTCCTTAATTCTAAGTTGCTTGTCTCCTTGATTAGTTTCCATCCACTGTTTCTTGACCTGCCTTCTGGTGTTTTGGAAAATAAGTTGAATCCCCCTCTTTTTGGCAGCCTCTCAAATACTGGAAGACTGCTATCATGGCATCCCTGGTCCTTCTTTTCTCTAGACTAGCCATACCCAAGTCTTGCAACTGTTCTTCACATGTTTTAGCCCCCAGGCCTTAAATGTCTTAGTTGCTCTTCCCTGCACTTTTTCCAAAAATCTTTTTTGAAATGTGATGACCAAAACAGGATGCAGTATTGTAGGTTTAGCCTTACCAAGACTTTGTAAAGCGGTGTTAATACTTTACATGATTTTGATTCTATGCCTCTACTTAAACAACCAAGGATCGTATATTCAAACATGAATCTGATTCATAAAAAGCAGATCCTTCACCACACAACTGTTATCCTTTGTGAGTCAATCCACTTCTTTTCCAGTGCGAAGGACATTCTGCATCCTCATGAGAGAATGAATCTTTCCCTAAATTCAGAACATCTCCTTCTAGCCAACTTTGTGGCCCAGATAATTGCATCCAGGTCGATGGTGAAATCCTTGTCGGGGGGAGCCCGGGGGTCTATTTGCCCAACTTTCACTGGGACATAAGAGAGATTGGGGAAAAAAATCCAGTTGAGAAGATCATATTGAGCTGATGCCAATCCATCTTCTGAGAAGAAGACTTCATCTCCAGCAATGCTGTTGAAGTGGACATTCTTCAAATAGGGAAGGAGCTGAAAGAAAAAAAGATACTTAGGAACTGGGATAATTAAAAATTACAAGCCATGGTTTCTATCATTCTATGATGACTATCATTTTAGGAGATAATTGGAAGCCTGTAAAGCTAAACCTGTTAGCATGTTGGATTTTTGAGTGATCAGGAGCAGTATCAAATCACAGGAATGTATCATGGAGATTCATAAAGGCTTCTTTTCACACAACAATCTTAGGAGTACAATAAATCTTATAATAAACAATTGGTCTGTGTTCACACAAGATGCTAAGCAACAGAAAAATAAAGAAGAAAAATCCATCCCAGTTTCAATCCGGGAGGAAAATCCTGGAAATAAAATGGAGACTGAATACAAGGTTTATTTGGTTTTCTAGAAACTTCAGTCACAGCAGCATGTTTCTGGGGTGGCTGACCAATTGGCTGAGTGAGTGGATGGATTTTTATAGGGTTCTGGGGTTTGGTGATTGAGATGCTCCAGGGGTGTTGTGCAAGGTAGTGCCCCTTGTGTCTTTTGCTATTCTAATGGTGGTGGGTAAATCCTATTATGTCCTAGAGGTCACATCCTTCATTTGAGTGGGGGAATGTAAATTCTTAATCCCATCAGCTTCAGCCTTCTATGGGAGCTGTGGCTGAAGGTGTTTTGTTTATGAATAGATTGACCCAGACTTTCTTAATAGGTACAAAATATCCATCTCTAAAGAAGTAAGCTTGAGGCTATGGCAGGAAGACTGGGGCTGCTTTCTGCCTTTGTTAGGATTTTTTTCTCCATTTCTCCTTTGGGGAAATATAATATTCTGCCTCTTTTAATATTCCCCAATATATTTCATTCTGTAGGAGGTGGACGCTTCTCACAGAAGCTAAACTGAATTGTCTTTTTACAGGCTGGATTCAGACTATCTTCAAAATGAAACTTAGGTGACTCTGCAGATGTGGCCAGTGGGACTTTTACTGATACTTTGAAGCATCTTGTACAAAGGAACTCAGATTATCATCTTGCGTTGGCTGACATCTCTTCCTTGGAATGGGAAACTCAGGGAACTTTTCAGATCTTTATAGGAAAACACTTTCTCTAGGGATCTCATAGAAAACTGGCTTAGTTTACTTCTCCCTCCTACTTCTTCATCAAAACATTATACGTAATTCATTTTACCATATTGTAAATAATTTTTATTTGGTTTTGAAAAATAGTTAGATGGGTAGCCTGGAAATTGTCTATGGAGATTCTCAATCATCTGGGTTGTCCCAAAGGTGCCTTTTCAGAAGGAAACTGGACTTTGTTTTTTTCTTTGAAGATGTTTCTCTTCTCATCCAAGAAACCGCTTCAGCTCTGACTGGATGGTGGGGAATGGAAGGATTTATACTCAATTCCGACAAAGCTGCTCATTTTCATCCTTTTAGAGAGTAGTTGAGGGCTCTTGGAGGTTAATTGCAGAGCAGAAAACATCCTTCAGCCAAAAAGGCTCCACACCCATTTGTACTACTCAAGTGACCCTGAGGACACGGATAAACCTCCAAGTGGCCTCAACGTTCTCTGTACAATAATGCAAATGAACAGCTGTCTGCAAGGAATATAAGCATAGAAATATTTACTAAGTCGATCAAGAAACATCCATGGGAACTTTCTTCTCTAAAGATCTTTCACATGGATGAAAAGTCCATCTTTATTTATTGATTAACCCTTGGGCCATATCAAAGTACGACGCTTCAGAAACAATTATTACAAAAGTTTGGTAGAAACCATTTAAATTGGAATTGGAATAGGAATACAACATGATTTAAAATGAAATTAGAGTAAAATAAGATCTAGAATTAAATCAGAATAAAATACAATAATTTGAGATATAAATTAAATATAATTAAAATTATATTACAATGTCACCCCTGCATCTACCCAATCAGTCTTAAAACCACTATTAGAATTACATTATTAAGTCAAATGATCTTTCCTGCAATCTACCACATTCTGCTGTACCAACTTAATCCTTTTTTCCATCAATTTTACAGCAAATTTGGCAATCCATTTCACCAGCTGCAAATTAGAACCTAACAAACTATGTTGCAAGAAGCGCTCTTTAGACTTAGGGGTGCTGGCATAGAAGATCATGCCCATCTGATGCTCCCTCGAATCTGAGTACAGGATGCAGTCAAAAATTACATGGGACATTGTTTCAACTTCCCCCTTCCCACATAAAGAGACTCTTTCATTTACAGGGGTACCCTTATACCTACCCCAAAGCATGTTTGTTTCAAGTTGGTCTAGTCTCAATTTGGTAAAATATCTCCTTATAACTGGAAACAAAGGCACAGTTAAATATTTTTCTATTTTAAAAATTTCTTTATTGGCCGATAACCAGGGGCAGGATGAAAAGTCACTGAGATTACCTGCCATGGTTGCACACTTGAGATCCTCTTTCCAAGCCTCCTCATGGCTGGTCGTGATCCTGAGCCAAGCATGGTATCTAATGCATGTGCCACAGCATAAACCGCATGGTAGATATGGTAGCTCTTACCCATCATGCTCACTTCAAATGTGTAAGATGGCAGAGTCCGTATATTCTCCTTTCCCGTACAGGGTTTTTTCCCCTTTTGAGGGATCTCTCCTGGTTTGTGGATCTTGCAGCCAAAGACCTGTTCCCACCATGCAGGGAGAATGACATCTCCTTGGGGGTTCAAGGGGTCTAAAGACAGAAGAAAGTGCCTGAATTCTGGGACATCGTGGCTATGATCCCTGAAATGCAAAGCACCGTGGAAATACTTTATGTTTTGAAAGAATTCCTTAGGGTCCTGTGAACTAACATCCCAATGAGAAGTCAGGATCCAAACTTTTCCAAATGGCATCTTACTCATTTGTCCATACATAGACAGAGCAAAATATAGAGTTAAAATTTTACTGCTTTCTCCAAACAAAACAATCACTTCAATTTTAAACGTTTGGAAAATTAATATTAATTTGGGTACCGTATTAAGAATATCAGTATTTAACATTTTAGTCAAGGCCGGGCAGATCTCCTTCTCCTTGAGCATTGGCATCAGAGTTGAGATGAAATGCTCTCCACTGTCATCTTCAGGGGCCAGAAGACCAACCCAGTTCCACTGGAAATACAGGAGCAGCTGCACTAAACCCACATACTGAGGAGATTCCTTGGGATTAATCCGGAAGAAGGAAGGATAATTCTTTCTGTCTCCTGGAGTGATTTTGAAGAAATCAAAACCAAACTGCAGAAAGGGAGAATCTTGTTTTAGAAAGGAGTTTTTGAAGGCAAGTTCAAAGGTTATGCTGATGTAAAGGGTCACCATCCTGTGGTTTTTGGCTCCACCAGTCAAGCTGTTTGACTTTGGTTGGAGTGAGAGTTCTCCAGTTCCGTTATAGTACAAAATGTCTTCAAGGAAAAACAAAGGAAGTCCAGTTGCTTCTTGAGAAAAGCATCTCTGGGACACCTATGTCATAGTTTGCCTCCCTCTGGCATGTGAGAAGCCAAGAGAAAAAACCATCAACCTGATTCACAGTAAAGAGTGGCTACATTTACAAAGACTCAGTTCTGAAGGAAATCATGGAGTGAATCATTTATTTACTTATTTATTTTACTCAATTTATATCCCACCCTTCTCCTAGTGGACTCAGGGCGGTGCACAGCCAGAACTAAAACACATACCAATACAAAATTTTAAATTTTAAAAGAATTATATAACTGTGGCCCAAAATTTAAAACATTGAAACTAAAACCCATTTGACAATTTAAAAAAGCTAAAAAGACCTTATTGTTGACCTCTTTGTGATGGGGGTAAAAAATAACCTTCACTTCCAAAAATAACATTGACTTCGTCTTTGGATTCTGAGTGCGCTTCTGTTCTGTATCTGCTCCCTACTGATATCCTTTGGAACCCCCTTACCTGTGGGACCTTGAAGATGCTGAAGATGGAGGCCATCTGCTTTGAGGATTTGGTCTTGAGATCTCTGATGACAGAGAGAAGAGGGTCCAGCATGTCACATTTGTAATCTGGAACCATTCGGCCTCGTGTAGACAGCAGAGAGAGGCTGTTCCAGGAAACGATCCTAAAAATATGACTATTGTCATAAATATGGAAGCCAAGTGTGATGTTGGGGAGGATGGCCAAATCTTTGTTGATCATTGTTACTGCATGTACCAAGGCAAGAAAGAGCTGGTAGTTCTTGGAGACAACACTATAATGAGAAAACACTTTGGAATATTACAGGGAAATTTGTGTGAAGTGATGTACTTTTCCTTCTCTCTCACACTCTCTCTCTGTATGTTATATATTTTCTCCTGGACTTTAGGATAGGGGAATCCATTTCTTGTGACCCTTTGGTCAAAAATTACATAGATGGTACTCTCCTAACATTATCGTAAGTGCAAATAAGGGCTGAAAATTACTCATACAGGTGAGGAATCTCTATGGTTGATTTGACAAATTGTCCTTTTCAAAACCGATTTCATTGTAATACTCACAATACTTCATAACATAGATTTACTAAAGGACATTTAAAAAGAGCATTAATGATTCCAAAACTAGGTTTGCCTTTTCAAAAAAAAGAAAAAAGAAAAAAAAGAAAGAAAGAAACAAACAAACAAAAAACAAACAAACAAAGAATAATAGACTTGGGACACCGGAGGTCTTCTAGTCCAACCCCCTGCTGGAGCTGGAGACCCTACACCATTCTAGACAAATGGTTGTCCAGTCTCTTTTTGAAAATCTCCAGCAATGGTACAACCACAGCTTCTGAAGGCAAGCTATTCCATTGGTTCATTCCTCTCACCATTAGGAAATATCTTCTTAATTCTAGGTTGCTCCTCTCCTTGGTTAGTTTCCAACTAATGTTTCTCTTCTTTGTAGGAGCCCCTCAAATATTAAAACAGTGCTAAATCTGATTTCTAAAAAAACACCTCCATTCTGTAAAAGGATTAGGCTTTTCTTTGAGTTTTCCATCATGACCTTCTGTAAAATTTAAATTATAATGAAAAGAAGGACTAGGGGAGAGATGATAGCACTGTTCCAATATCTTAGGGGCTGCCACAAAGAAGAGGGAATCAAGCTATTCTCCAAAGCACCTGAAGGCAGGACAAGAAGCAATGGGTGGAAACTAATCAAGGAGCGAAGCAACTTAGAACTAAGGAGAAATTTCCTGACAGTGAGAACAATTAATCAGTGGAACAACTTGCCTCCAGAAGTAGTGAATACTCCAACACTGGAAGTTTTTAAGAAGATGTGGGATAACCATTTATCTGAAGTGGTGTAGGGTTTCCTGCTGAAGCAGAGGGTTATACTAGAAGACCTCAAAGGTCCCTTCCAACTCTGTTATTCTATTCTATTCTATTCTATTCTATTAGTCTTCACTCAGTCGGCACAGTTTCTAGCCTGTAAACCCTTCCTCAATGTTTATGCAGTTTTATCTTGATGGAACTGGAACATTCTAGCCTATTTAATGAGTTTTTTTCTAGGAAAGGACCAAGGCTTCTAAACTTCACCAGAACATTGTGAACATCACTAGAAGAATAATTTCTGAAAGGACTCCATGAACCCAAAACAAAGAGGACAATCTTCTCCTCTTTCCCCTTCAGATGAAACAAGGCATTGAGTTGTTAAGTTGCTGCTGCCCTGGGGGTGAGGATGGATAGATGAGATATATGGGCTTTTATGTTGCAGATTTCTAAAGTTATGAGCTGCCTGGAGTCACCATTATGTGAGATGGGCGGCCATATAAATTTGTGTAATAAATAAAATAAATAATACCGTTTTGAAAGTGGCATCAGTGATGGCTCACTGTTGAATTCCATCTTTCTATAGTCGGCAAAGGTTACCAGGGGTAAATTCCCCCCAATAATGAGATCACCAGGCCTGTAATAGTCCTCCAGAATCTTCAAAGGGTTCCTAAGTATACATACACTTTGCATTATCTTATCAGTCGTTGTTGAAGGCTGGAGCCAAAGGAGAAGCAACAGGAGAAGCAGCCCATTCATGATCCTCACCTTCCTTCCTGAATCAAAAATCAATGTGTCAGCATTCCGAGTAATGCACCCATTGAAAGGAGAACTCTGAGGCAGGTAGATTCCTCAAAGAACATGTTTATTGGATACATCATATCGGCACAGCCGGTGAAAACCAACTCTGAACATTCCCACGGTTTTCACCTAATTAGAAATAGAATAACAGAGTTGGAAGGGACCTTGGAGGTCTTCTAGTCCAACCCCCTGCCTAGGCAGGAAACCCTACACCACTTCAGACAAATGGTTATCCAACATCTTCTTAAAAACATCCAGTGTTTTAAAACTAAAAGAATAAAACTTCCCCCCTCCCTTTCCCCTCTCAGGCTTCGTGGCAGCTATGAGGCAGCATAAGATGGCTTCAGCCAGGTCTGCTTCAGAGTTGACAGTATGTTCATCAAGAGCTGGATTTGGTCCCCAGGAAATTTCACTAATACTTTAACACAGCAGTCTATTCAACTTGGGTGGCTTCAGGGCAAATTTATATCAAGAATGCTTCCACTTACTTGTGTTTGAGTTGTCATCCAAGAGAAAATTGATACCTGTTAAGTTTCACTGTCAGCAAGAAATTACTTCTGTGCAAGACACGTTGAGAAGAAATGTCTAGCCTCTCTTTGGAGAGCCCAGAAATTATTATTTTTTCAAGCAGGTTTTATCTTGAAATTTTTTCTGGGTAGAAATCCACAGGGGATACATTACGAATTACTGTTCTTCTGATAATTGCAAGGCAGACTAACATTCTACCCTCCTTAGCAATAGTGTCTCTTTGTATACCAGAAGAGGAAAAACATGTTTGTGTCTTTTATGGATGCAAGGATCAGATGGACTTGAGGGTCAGGATACAGGTGGTATTCGGCCTACCTGAAACTGAGTACCTGTACCCAAGATCGAATCTGGCCTGTGCCTTAGTTTGTTCGGACAGTGTTAGAGTCAAGGGGAAAAGTTCCAGAATAACAGAGTTGGAAGGGACCTTTGAGGTCTTCTAATCCAACCCCCTGTTCTGGAAAGAAACCCTATATCATTTCAGACAAATGATACTCTTAACAACTTCCAGTGTTGGAGCATTGACAACTTCTGGAGGCAAGTTGTTCCATTGGTTAATTGTTCTAATTGTCAGGAAGTTTTTCCTTAGTTCTAGGTTGCTTCTCTCCTTGATTATGTTCTGATCCATTGCTTCTTTCAGAAAACAATTGAATAGTAGGAAGGAATTCTACAAAGCCTCAGGAAGCAAACGCTCACATTGAACCTAATCCTTTAAAATGCTAAAATATTTTTTAGAATTCAATTAAAAGGAATAAAAGGTATGCTTCTGGCTTTGTATAACAAGCTGGGATGACCAATATGCGTTGAGTGACTGTGCAGACTTTAGAGGAATGCAGTTGTCATATAGCACACATAACACAGAGATGGTTAAAGCAATATGTATACTGGTGACGTTATCATCCCAATCAGAAAATCCACCACTATCAGCCAGTCTCAGCTTGGACACTTAGGAAAGAAAGACCCTTGATGCCCTTAATAGAGAAAAGGTATACTCTTACTAAGGTGAAGTGGTTACAGTCTAAGTAAAGCCAGATCTGAATATTCCCGTGCAATTTTGGCGTATTTTCCTTCTCCCAAGTCTTCTCAGGTCCTTCCCACTTTTGGTTATCTGGTCAGTGTCCACTAGCATTCAAAACAATTGTTTTGGTAACAGTTCTGGTTTTGGCACCTTATTGGTGGAGGTTTGTATTCTCTTCTCATGAGTATGTCATTGAATCTCTCAACTGTTGTCTCCGATTGGTGTCTCTGATTCCTGTCATTTCCCCCCTTACTCTCCCTTGCCCTATTCCCACTCCCCCCCTTTTTTTTTTTTGGCAAGATGTGAAGCTGAAGTGACATGCTGGCAGATCTGATGGTCACATTGATGAGGAAGTTCAGCAGTATTGGATGAATAGTTGAGAATTTAAGTTCTACCATAAAAAAGTAAAATAAATAGAAGCATGGAATTCTACAAAGTCTCAGGAGGCTATAAAAGCAAGCATATATGCTCAAAAACAATGAGATGGAAACAAACCCTTTAAAACATGAAAAAGGTAAAATATTTAATGAAAAGGAATAAAATGAGAAAATATCCACTTTGAAATAATGAACATCAAGCTTTATTTCTACATAAAGCACTGGTCTCACTGAGGACAACTAGAAAGCAAGAAATGAAAAACACTGCATGATTATTGCTGAAAACAGAAATATTTATTCATTCATTCATTCATTCATTCATTCATTCATTCTTTATAAGGAAGGAGTTAGACTACAACTAAAATCTATGGAACAACTAAGAGAAGAAGGAATAATTAGAACTTGGTTTCAGTATGGACAGCTGCAGGCCAGATGGGGAGAAGATCAGAAAATTGGTATTTTGCAACAGGATGAGAACTTGATAAAACAAATAAGAGACAAAAGTCAAAGGCATATAAAAAGCTTGTATAATGTATTAGTGGAAATAGGTTCAGAAAGAGAGCTAGTCAAGGATTGTATGATAAAATGGGCACAAAATATAGGAGAACCAATAATGATGGAAACATGGGAAAAGATATGGGTTAGAAATGTAAGATTTACACAAGCCCAAAATTTAAGAGAGAACTTTTATAAAATGTTTTATAGATGGCATTTAGATCCAAAAAAACTAGCCTGTATGTATCCAAATGTACAACCTAAGTGTTGGCGATGTGAGTGTAAAGATGCTACATATTTTCATATATGGTGGACATGTAAAAAAAATTAAGGCTTTTTGGATAAAAATATGGTGGATTATTCAAAACATTTTAAAGAAAAAAATTAAATTTACACCACAGTTTTTTCTGTTGGGAATAGTTATGGATTGTACTGTGACAGAGACTAAGTTGGTTTTGAACTTAATAACAGCTGCCAGGTTACTGGTGGCACAGTACTGGAAGAAAGAAGAGGAATTGAGGAATGGACATTAAAAGTTGTGCATTTGGCAGAAATGGCGAAAATTTCATCATATCTTAAAGACCATTCAAATGAAAGATACATATCGGAATGGAGAAGATGGATCGATTACATACAGAAGAAGTATCCGAATAAGAAGATTCATATAGCATATGAATGAAGTAATTTTAAGTAATTTATGTTTGTTTTTTGAATTATAAGGAGTTAAGGATCGAGGGAGAATATGAAACGTAATAATTTGTTAGCATATTTTAGCTTTTGATTTGTGAATGCTATAACCTGTGCTTGTTCTGGGAAGTCTAGGGAGGGGGGTGGGGTGGAAGGGGAAGGGGGGGTGGGAAAGGGGAGGGAGGGGTTGAGGGGGGAAGGGTGGGGGGTGAAAATGTTTGTATTCTCTATAAAATTTTTAATAAAAAAAGAAAAAAAGAAATGAAAAACACTGCATGATTATTGCTGAAAACAGAAATATTTATTCATTCATTTATTTATTTATTTATTTATTTATTTATTCATTCATTCATTCATTCAATTTCCACATCTACCCAACTCAACCAATCCACTCCTATTATGACCAGTTTTAGCATTTGAGTAAGGCATTATTAAATGGATCTGTTTCTTCTTCTCTGTCATGTTTTAGAAATATCATCAGATACTAAACATGCCTCAAGGATAAATATCATTCCCATCCCTGCATGAGTTAGAGATTCTTGTTTCTTATCATATTTTCTTTACAATTCAGATGGGGCCTCAGAAGAATAATGAAGCATTTGGGGAAAAAGATACAAGCCAAGAGACCAGCCCCAGAGGCCAAGATGGAGAAGATCTCCACAGCCACCATGGACTTCCCTTTGGTGCTCAGGTAGGTGGGGAGGAAGGAGATCCAAACGCTGCAAAAGACCAGCATGCTAAAAGTAATGAACTTGGCTTCATTAAAGCTGTCGGGCAGCTTCCTAGCCAAAAAGGCCATGATAAAACTCACCAGGGCCAGAAAACCCAGGTAGGCCAGGACAGTGTAAAACATGGAAGCTGAGCCTTCATTACATTCCAAGATGGCCTCTCCTATCAAGGTGTGGAAATCCAAGTTAGGAAATGGGGGAGAGTTTATCAACCAGATGGCACAAAGAACTACTTGGACAAGAGGACAGGATACAACAATGCAATTGGTCAGTGATTTTCCTAAGAATTTCCTGGTCTTGTTCCCTGGCTTGGTAGCCATGAAAGCCAGAACCACCATGACAGTTTTTGCCAAGACAGAGGAAACTGCAAGAGAAAAGAGAATGGCAAAGGCAGTTTGTCGGAAGAGACAGGTGAGCTTCCTCGGTTGACCAATGAAAAGGAAGGAGCAGAGGAAGCAGAGCAGGAGGGAGACCAGGAGGAGGTAAGTGAGATCTCGGTTGTTGGCCTTGACGATCGGTGTGTCACGATATTTAAGGAAAATTGCCAGGACTCCCAAGGTGGTAATGGAAAGAGAAAGTGTGAGAGAACTTAAAGCATATCCCAGGGTGTCTTGATAGGAAAGGAAGTGGATCTTCTTGGCAATGCAGTGGTCCTTGTCCATGTTTGGGTATTGGTCTTCTGGACAGGGGTCACAGTGATCTGCATCTGAAATCAAAAGTCTTTGTCTAAGGATTTCAGGGGCTTCCACAGTGAGAATTATCTTTCCTGCCTCATATCTCAGATGTGACTCCTTTCCACATAGGCCAACTCAATAACAAAGAGATGGAAGGACAGCCTGGGAAGCTTATGGTGCTCTGTAAAAAACAAAGCACAGTTGGTTCAAAATGATCCTGAGTGGGATCAGTTGCTCAGAGATTAGGATCTCTCCCTCTCCAATCACCGGACATTATTTTGGCTTTTTTGTGAGAGAAAGGTTGGCATTTGATTTTTTCCCCCTCATGTTATAATGGGAGCCTAAGAGGATTGACTGAGCTCTCGGTCAGGGGAGGGATACTGTAAAATCTCCATTCTCTCCCCACTCCAGGGGAAGGATACTGCAAAATCCCCATTTCCTCCTGATCAGTTGGGACTCAGGAGGCAGAGAATAGATGGGGTTGGGGCCAGTCAGAGGTGGTATTTACCAGTTCTCTGAACTACTCAAAATTTCCGCTACCAGTTCTCCAGAACTGGTTAGAACCTGCGGAATACCACATCTGGCACGCACACACAAACACACATGTAACAGGAGGTGGGAGAGGGAATTTCTCTATTTCAAATCACTTTTTCCCATCATTCAGTGAGATTTTTTTTTGCAGACATAAGTAGATTTAATGAATTTCTCTGACAGGCCTAGATATTTCAAGTGAGATAAATTTTTAATATCAAAATATATTTTATTCTTTATATTGTTTCCAGTGTAACCTATCAGAAACCAAAGAATCAACATTTCTTAATATATTGATCTACTAAATGGCTTCCTTGATCCTGAAAGTTCTACATTTCCAGCTTACTCTACCTGTCTGATTAGAAATGGTCCCTTCTGGACAAGCATCACACTGGTAGCAGCAAACCTGCTTGCCCTCTGGAACTCTTTTCCTCTCTCCTGCATGGCACCTCTTAATGCCACACCTGGCAAAGGGCACCTTCTGAAAGAGAAAAGGGAAATACTTGAGAAGGTCTATTCAATGACCGCCTACTACCACAAACAGCCTCCCACCGGCCGGTATGCTCTCATAGAGAGGGGCTCCTCCAGGTGCCATCAGCCAAACAATGTTGACTGGCGCCCCTAGGGGGAGGGCCTTCTCTGTGGGGGCACCCACTATCTGGAACGAGCTCCCCCCGGAGATACGGAGGATCCCGGATCTGCGCACTTTCCGCCGTGCTTTGAAGACACTCCTATTCCAGCAGGCCGGCCTGGCCTAATTTTCTCCCCTTCTTTTAAATTTTTAAATTGAAATTTTAATTCGTTTTAAATTATTGGGAGTTTTAATTGTCTTGGGAAAAAATTATTTAATTGGGTTTTAATCATGTTTTTTAACTTTTATATTTATGTGTTTTATTTTGTGCCTGTTCACCGCTCTGAGTCCTTCGGGAGTAGGGCGGTATACAAATTTAATAAAATGAAAATGAAATGAAATGAATGATCATGCATCATTAAATCTCCACATTCATATTTCTGTCTTCAAAAGATCTTTAGAAGAACTGATTCACCATAGTGTAACATCAACTAGAAGGAATTCCTGGGGAAGTTTCCTAGTGGCATTGCCAGCTAACCAATTGTTACTTGGGATTGGAACATCTCTCATTAAGGCAGTTACAAGTAGTCCTCACTTAATGAACCTTAATAACCCCTGGGCCACAGTATAGCAGAAAGTCTCAGCTGTCCCAGCACAGCACAAAGTCCTTTACCACTCGGCATAGTCTCATAGTGCAAAGCCCCAATTGCTAAAGCTCAGCTGCAAAGTCCCAGCCATCCTGTCTGAAGAAGATGGTGCAAAGACCCAGCTATAGGATAACTCATCACCCTGCACCAGTGCTGGTATTCAGCCAGTTCTACCCGTTCGGGCGAAGCAGTGGTGGTGGCTGCGGGAGGCTCTGCCCACCCGTCATCGTGTGCCGTTTTTGACACTCTGTGCATACCCAGAAGGTCCTACACATGCGCAGAAGTGTTGTGCATGCGCTCACATTTGTGAACCGGTAGCGAAGGTAAGTCAATATCACCCCTGCCCTGCACTCTGATTCCCCAGCTACTCCAACACCTCAACTGACCTTCATCATTTTATTGTTCCCAATGTGGCATGGACAGCCAGGCTGTTTGGGAGGAAACTCCTGGCTACACAAGGCCATTTCCCAAGGTCTCCTGAGTTAACCACCATGTATGTCCCAGGGAAGAAGCCCTTATATGGCCAGGAACTGCTTCACAAAGGGTCAAGCTGGTCATGCATCATCACCAGTGGGAGGAAGAAGAAGTCAAAATCCAGTAGGGGCAGCAGAGGATAGAAAATTAACAGAGTTGGAAGGGACTTCATAGGTCATCTAGTCCAAACCCACCCCCCAAGCAGGAGACCCTATACCATTTCTGACAAATGGCAGTCCAATCTTTTCTTGAAAGTCTCAAGTGATGAAGCTCCCACAACTTCCAAAGGCAACTTCTGTTCCATGGGTTGATTGTTCTCACTGTCAGAATGTTCCTCCTCATTTCTAGGTTGAATCTCTCCTTGGTCAGTTTCCATCCATTATTCCTTGTCTGGCCTTCAGGTGCTTTGGAAAATAGCGTGACCCCCTCCTCTCTGTGGCAGCCCCTCAAATATTGGAAGACTGCTCTCATGTCTCCCCTGGTCCTTCTCTTCACTAGAATAGCCATGCCCGGTTCCTGCAATCGTTCATTGTATGTTTTAGCCTCCAATCTCCTCATCATCTTGGTTGCTCTTCTCTGCACTCTTTCCAGAGTCTCAACCTCTTTTTTATAGCATGGTGACCAAAACTGGATGCCGTACTCTAGGTGTGGCTTTACTAAAGCTTTATAGAGTGGTATTAGTACCTCACTTGATCTTGATTATATCCCTCTGTTAATGAAATTTAGGATTGCATTGGCTTTTCTTTGCTGCTGGCTCATATTTAGCTGGTTGTCCACTAAGACTCCAAGATCCCTCACACAGTCACTGCTATTAAGCCTGGTTTCCCCCAGTTTATATGTGTGCTTTTGGTTTTTCTTACCTAGTTCATGGGGGTCAAAGAGCAGAGATGGGGGAAGATAATGATTTTGATCACATGACCACAGTGGCCATAACTTTGAGGATGGGAGGTAAGTAACAGTCATTCAGTAACCTCAAACGGTCATTGAACAAATGGTTGTTGAGTGAGGATTGCCTGCAATTATATTCTTGCTCTCTGCCTTTGAACTATAGCTTCTCCTCAAAGGAAGAATCATAATCTTCCAACTAAACAGGAATGATCAATGGAGTTGATTGATGCCTTCTTGACTTGTAATCTGGATTTCAACCAGATTCCCTCTCCCATCCCAACCCTTCTTGAAAATGGCACAAATCAGACATGAATCTGTTTCGTGGAAAGCAGATCATTCAACCAGACAGTTGCCTTCTTTTCTGATTCAATCATCATCATTATCATCATCATCATCATCATCATTTAACAACCCCATAATCCCTTGCGGGGTGGAGTCTGGGCAACTGAATGGAGCTAACAGAGTGTTTACTGGCCGGATGCCCTTCCTGACACCAATGCGGAGTTTTGTTCAGCAGATATATTTTCGTTGTGCCCAGGGAGAGAAATATCTGCCTCTACCTAGGATCGAACTCACAGACTCCTGATTGTGAGGCAAAAGCTCTTCCTCTAGGCCACTGCACCACTCCTTCTTTTCTGATTCAATGAACCTTTTTTTAACATTGAGAAGCATCCCCAACAACTTTTTCCCTGAGTTCAGAACATTTCTTTCTATCTCACCTTTCCGGACCAGATGATTGCATTGGAGTTGATGGTGAAATCCTGGCCTGGAGGAGCTCCGGAATCTATTTGCCCAACTTTCATGGAGACAAAAGACCAATTGGGGAGAAAAATCCAGTTGAGAAGATCATACTGAGCTGATCCTAGTCCATCTTCTGAGAAAAAGATTTCATTTCCAACACTATTGTTGAACCGGATGTTCTTCAAATAGGCAAGAAGCTGAAAGAAAAGAGACCTTAGAAAGTGAGGTAATTAGAAATGAGATATTTTGGCTTCTATCATTCACTGGTGACCATCATTTTAGGAGATAATTACAGATCTTTAAAGCTAGGCATGGTTGGTGGATACCTGAGTGATCTGGAGCAGCATCAAATCACAAGAATCTATTCATGGGGCATAAGAGATAGAATAGAATAGAATAGAATAGAATAGAATAGAATAGAATAGAATAGAATAGAATAGAATAGAATAGAATAGAATAGAATTCTTTATTGGCCAAGTGTGATTGGACACACAAGGAATTTGTCTTGGTGAAGTTTTTTCCCAAACGCCATCACTCTGCTTAACAAGTAATTCCCTCAACACTGTCAAATTAGTTACTAAGTCTGCATTACTATTAATCTTCTCATCGTTCCTATGACCCATCTCCCACTTATGACTGTATGACTGTAACCTTGTTGCTAGTATCCTTAAGATTTGTATTAACTGTTTCCCTATGACTATCATTAAGTGTTGTATCTTATGATTCTTGGTGAACATATCTTTCTTTTATGAGAGCGTATGCACCAAGACAAATTCCTTGTGTGTCCAATCACACTTGGCCAATAAAGAATTCTATTCTATTCTATTCTATTCTATTCTATTCTATTCTATTCTATTCTATTCTATTCTATTCTATTCTATTCTATTCTATTCTATTCTATTCTATTCTGTTTTCCCATAAGTGAGCAGTACAACAAATGGTGTACTAAATAAATGGTCAATGTTCACACAGAATCCTAAGCCATTAAAAAATTGAAGCAAGCTAAAATGAATTGAGTTTAATGTCTTGTTACAGGTTGCATTCAGACTAAATCGGGGTGAAATGCTCCCGGTTTGGACCAGCTCGGGCGAGTAGGTAGCAATGGCGGCGGGCAGTTCGGAGAACCGGTAGCAAAAATCCCTTTCCCCCCCCCAGCCTCCAGCTTGCTTACCTTCGCACGCCTGCCTTGCTTCACTTGCTGTAATCCCTGCAATCCATTGCATCAGCAAGCAACTGAATCTCCCTGCTTGCAATCAAGCTCATTGGTGAGCAGCTCTATCTGCCTGCCTGCCTGCCTGTAAGTTTTTTCCCCTTTGGGAGCTTTAAAATAAATAGTTAATTGGGGGTTTTTTTAGTTGTTCTTTTTTTAGACCTAGCCATTTAAAGTTTAGGAAGTTTTAAATTTAGCTGCTTTTATATAAAAATAAAAATAAAATAAAATAAAATAATATTTGTGCAGCTTTCTGAGATTTTGTGTGTTTCTGTAGTGTTTCACTCTAACTACACAAACACACAAAATCTCACAAAGCTGTATGTGGAATTTTGTGTGTGTAAAGTGTGAAAGTTGGTTTTTTGGACTTTTTGTGGCTGTGTGAGGTTCCTGCTTGTTGCAGGGGCCATTTTGCCCCTGCTTTTACATTGTGGGTGAGCCAGTTGTGTTGTATGTGTGTAAAGTGTGAAAGTTGTTTTTTTGGACTTTTTGTGGCTGTGTGAGGTTCCTGAGTGTTGCAGGGGCCATTTTGGGTCAGTTGCTTTTACATTGTGGGTGAGCCAGTTGTGTTGTGTTGTATTGTGTTGTGTTGTGTTGTGTGCGTGTAAAGTATTAACATTGGTTTTTTGGACTTTTTGTGTCTGTGTGAGGCTCCTGTTAGTTGCAGGGGCCATTTTGGGTCTAGCACAGCTGCTTTTACATTGTGGGTGAGCCAGTTGTGTTGTGTTGTGTTGTGTGTGTGTAAAGTGTGAAAGTTGGTTTTTTGGGCTTTTTGTGGCTGTGTGAAGTTCCTGCTTGTTGCAGGGGCCATTTTGGGTCTAGCACAGCTGCTTTTACATTGTGGGTGAGCCAGTTGTGTTGTGTTGTGTTTTGTAGCTTACAAAAGGGCAAAGAAGTGATGTCGATTTGACCACGCCCACCTGACCACCAAGCCACGCCCACCCAGTCACCTGACCACCAAGCCCCACCCACTAATTAAGCCACGCCCACAGAACCAGTAGCGAAAACTTTTAGATTTCACCCCTGAACTAAATGCTAATGTAACTTTGCTGGTTCCGCAAATGTGGCCAGTATGACTTCTCCTGACCTGGGCAAGCATGTTGAAGACAGACACCCAGATTATCATCTCCCTCTGGGCTGACACCTCCTTCCACAAATAGAGTTTCATCCTCTGAAACTAACTATTAAAGATTATTCAGGACCATTGTTACTTCCCGGTTGGACTATTGTAATGCTCTCTACATGGGGCTCCCCTTGAAGAGCACTCGGAGGCTCCAACTGGTCCAGAATGCGGCCGCGCGGGTGGTTATGGGCGCAACCCGTTGTGCCCCCGTGACACCCCTCCTGCACGAGCTGCACTGGCTACCAGTGGTCTTCCGGGTGCGATTCAAGGTGTTGGTTACCACCTTTAAAGCGCTCCATGGCATAGGACCCGGGTACCTCCGAGACCGTCTTCTGCCACCAATAGCCTCCCACCAACCAGTTCGCTCCCACAGAGAGGGTCTCCTCAGGGTGCCATCGGCCAAATTATGTCAGCTGGCGACACCCAGGGGGAGGGCCTTCTCTGTGGGAGCCCCAGCCCTGTGGAACGAACTGCCCCGGGAAATACATAAGATCTCCGACCTCCGGGTGTTCCGCTGCGCACTGAAGACCCTGTTGTTCCGCCAGGCCGGACTATCAACACAATAGTTTTAAATTGGGGTATTTAAATTTTTTTGGGTTTTAAATCTGAGCCAATTTATTTAATTATTTTAAATTTTACATTGTTGTTTTGTCTCTGTTTTTAAATAGGCTGTACACCGCCCTGAGTCCTTCGGGAGAAGGGCGGTATAGAAATAAAATTATTATTATTATTATTATTATTATTATTATTATTATTATTATTATTATTATTATTTATTGGTTAATCTTTAGTGAGATTCACAGCCTTTGAGGCTGGTTAATAGCTCAGCAGCTCGAGTCCTAACCAAGGACCTAGGAACTGTTAAGGTATCGTCGGAGGATGTAAGCTGTTCCGAGTAAGGTGGTTTTTTGTAGAGTCAAAATGTTCAAGTCCGGCAAATTTAGAATTTCTAAATAGCGGGGTAGCCCTTTGGGTATTGCTCCGAGGGCTCCAATTACAATCGGGACAACACACGATTTCTTTTCTTTTATTATTATTATTATTTCTATTATTATTATTATTATTATTATTATTATTATTATTATTATTATTGTCAATGTTATCAAGAACTGGTTCGGTTATCTATCCCTTTTTCATCAAATCATTGTTTTAGCATATTTCATTAATTGCTGATTTAGTTTGTTTTCAGATGTAGTTAGATGGGGTGGCATGGAAATATTTAATGAATTAACCAAGAAACACCCATGAGAAGTTCTAAGAATCTGTGGACCAGATCAAATTTAGAGAAATTACCTGCCATGACTGTATACTGGAGATCCTCTCTCCAAGCCTCATCATGGTTGGTCGTGCTCCATACATCGCATGCAAAGCGTGTGCCACGACATAAATGGCATTGTAGATATTGTAACTTTCACCTGTCATGCTAGTTTCAAATATGTAAGATGGCAGATTCCGTACATTTTCCTTTCCTGTGCATTGTTTTTCCCCCTTTTTAAGTCTCACTCCTGGTTTGTGGATCTTGCAGTCAAAGGCATCTTCCCACCATGGAGGGAGAAAGACATCTCCTTTTGGGTTCAAGGGGTCTAAAGACAAAAGGAAGTGCTGGAATTCTGGGACATCATGGCTATGATCCATGAAATGCAAAGCACCGTGGAAGGGCTTTTTTAATGCCAAAGTCTTGTGATAACTACTAATTTCCCAATGGGACGTCAAGATCCAAACCTTTCTAAATGCAATTTTTGTCCGTTTTTCAAAGTAATGCAGAGAGAGATATACAGTTGCTATACAGTTGGATTCTCCAAGCAGAATGATCACTTCAGCTCTAAACCATCTTTTAATTAAAGAACTATATTTTGACATTGCAATACCGTAAGGTTCATATTCCAACAGCTGACTGAAGGCCAGGCAGATCTCCTTCTCCTCCAGCAATGGACTCAGAGATGAGATGAAACGTTCTCCACTGTCACCTTCAGGGGCAATAAGCCCAACCCAGTTCCACTGGAAATACAGGAGCAGCTGGACTAAACCACCATATTGAAGAAATTCACTGGGGCTAATTCGGAAAAAGGAAGGAAAAACAATTCTGTCTTCCTGAGTGAACTTGAGGAAGTCAAAACCGAGCTGCAAAAAAGGGAGTGTCTTGTTTTAGAAATTAATTTTTCATGACAAGGTCATATTTTATGCTGAGGTTAAAGATCATCATCCAGGGTTTTTTTAAAAAAAATAATCATGTCAGACATGCAGATTCACAATGATAAGATTCCAGTTTACCACATTACAAAAGAAGATTTTTAAAAAATTGATTTACTATTAAATATGTTTTTTAGCGCTTAATAAACATTGTGTTGTCTGGGTATTTAGTTTGCTTAACAATACAAATTCACATTCTTAATCTCTATCCCTCTTTTCCAACCATTGGTAAAATAAATTCCATGTTTGATAATATTCTACATCCTCTTTCTGTTTCGTGTTTAATGTCAATCTATCCATTTCTGCACAATCTAGTATCTTCTTGATTATTTCTTCGACTCACGGTATATCTTCATTTTTCTTTCTTTTCTTTTTTTTTGATTTTAAAAAACAAACTTTATTAAATTTAAAAAGATAAAATTATATAAAACATTCACAACATTAAAATACAATCAACAATACTAATCACAACAAAGTGAAAATATGTAATATATATAAGTACAATTGTACACATTTCTGAACAATCTAGTATCTTCTTGATTATTTCTTCGACTCACGGTATATCTTCATTTTTCAATATTGTACGAAAATAGAATAGAATAGAATTCTTTATTGGGACCTTGGAGGTCTTTTAATCTAACCCTTTGCTCAAGCAGAAACTCTATACCACTTCAGAGAAATGGCTATCCAATATCTTCTTAAAAGCTTCCAGTGTTGGAGCATTCACAACTTTTGGAGGCAAGTTGTTCCGCTGGTTAATTGTTCTGTCTCCTTAGTTCTAGGTTGCTCCTCTACTTGTCATTCCCTCAGGCACTTGGGAGAATAAGTTGACCCCCTCTTCTTTGTGGCAGCCCCTGAGATATTGGAACATTGCTGTCATGTCTCTCCTAGTCCTTCTTTTCATTAAACTAGACATACCCAATTCCAGCAACAATTCTTTACATGATTTAGCTCCAGTTCCCTAATTATCTTCATTTCTCTAGAGTCTCAGCATCTGTTTTATCTCATGGTCACCAAAACTGAATGCAATATTCCAAGTGTGGTCTTCCCAGGGCATTATAAAGTGGTATTAACACTTCACGTGATCTTGATTCAATCCCTCTGTTGTTGTTAGTTGCGAAGTCGTGTCCGACCCATCACAACCCGATGGACCACGTTCCTCCAGGCCTTCCTGTTCTCTACCATCTTCTGGAGTCCATTTAAGCTCATGCCGACTGCTTCAGTGACTCCAGCCAGCCATCTCATTCTCCGTCGTCCCCTTCACCTTTTGCCCTCTATCGTTCCCAGCATTAGGCTCTTCTCCAGTGAGTCCTTCCTTCTCATGAGGTGGCCAAAGGATTTGAGTTTCATCTTCAGGATCTGTCCTTTTAAAGAGCCGTCAGGGTTGATCTCCTCTAGGACTGACCAGCTGGATGGCCTTGCAGTCCAAGGGACTTGCAGGAGTCTTCTCCAGCACCAGAGCTCAAAGGCCTCCATTCTTTGGCACTCAGCCTTTCTTATGGTCCAACTTTCACAGCCATCCATTGCAACTGGGAAAACCATAGTCTTGACTATACACACTTTTGTTGGCAGGGTGATGTCTCTGCTTTTTAATATGCTTTTTAGTATCCCACTGTTAATGCAGCCTAAAATAAGTTCATCACTTGCATGAGTTCTTCAAATCATGTAGTCCTGATTTTCCCCAAGTTAATTTGGTTTCATCTTTGGCTTTTGTGCTTGCATCTGTCCTCTCTCTGGTATCCCATGGAACCCCCTTACCTGTGGAATCTTGAAGGTGCTGAAGATGGAGGCCATCTGCCTTGAATACTGGGAGTTGAGACCGCCTATGACAGAGAGCAGAGTGTCCTGCTTGTCACATTTGTAATCTGGAACCATTTGGCCTCGGGTCGAGAGAAGAGAGAGGCTGTTCCAGGAAATTCTCACAACAGTGTCCTTATTGTCATAAATATGGAAGCCAAGTGTGATGTTGGGAAGGAGCGTAACATCCTTGTTGATCTCTGTGACTGCATAGACCAAGGCCAGGAACAGCTGGTAATTCTTGAACGTAGTGCTGTAATGAGGAAACATTGGGGATGATTCATTGGTGAAATCTAAAATTTGTTACTACCGGTTCTGTGGGCGTGGCTTGATGGGGGAGTAATGTGACTGGGTGGGTGTGGCCATTTTTAAAAAAACTTTTAAAACCATTTTTTCTACAACCTCTTTGGCGAAGAGGTTGTAAAAAATGCTTTCAAAAGGCTCTGACAATCCCAGCTGAGTTGCCTGATCGGCAGAAACTTTTTTTCTTTTAAAAGCCTCTGCCGATCAGGCAACTCAGCTGGGACCATCAGAGGCATTTAAAAGAAAAAAATTCTCTGCCGATCAGGTAACTCAGCTTGGATCATCAGAGGCATTTAAAAGAAAAAAAGCCTCTGCCGATCAGGCAACTCAGCTGGGATCATCAGAGGCTTTTAAAAGCATTTGACGAACCCAGCTGAGCCACGCGATCATCAGAGGCTTTTTTTTTTTACTTTTAAAAGCATTTTTTCCACTGAAGGGGTTGTAGAAAAAATGCTTTTAAAAGGAAAAAAAAGGCCTCTGATGATCGTGTGGCTCAGCTGGGCATTGGGGGGGTGGGCAAGGATTTTTGCTACCGGTTCTCCAAACCACCCGCCTCCATCGCTACCAGATCAGGTGATCCGGTCCGAACCGGGAGCATTTCACTCCTGGGATGATTACACAAAAGCTTTTTTGTGTTGATGGAATTCACCTTTCCTTGAGTACATTTTTGTGCGTGTTCTCCTGGTGAGCCAGGCTAAGATTCGATATTGGGATAAAACTCAGATATTAGGAATCCAAATCTTTGGTCAAGACAGAAGTGCCTCTTCCATGCCAAGGTGCTAAGATGGCAAAAGGTATTTGACATAGGCACAGAATTGTAAAAGGGCAAACTGACCCTAAACAGATACATCCTGTTGTTTAATGTTTATTACACCCCAAATGTCATGTATATCCTAGAGAAGAAATACTGCTTCCCTTACTGCCCCCTTTACTGCTCTTGAGGCGCCTTTGAGCCCCTTATCTCCTCTTTTATTATGTCTTGAGCTCCGGAGCTGAAAACCTGAGCCTGTGGGAAAAGGGCTGTTATGTCTTTCCTAGAGATAGATTAAAGGGTAACTTCTACATGTGAAATGTTGCACTCTTCGTAATAACTTTGTCTTTATATTGTATAAATATCTGGTTGAAATCAGCCATCATTGTTCAGACCCTTTCCTGTCTTTGGACTGTTTGAACCTTGCGCAAATAAACTCTTTCCTGCATCGAAGAGCTTGGCCTGGTTCCGTTTTATTTCCTACAACACTGGAAGTGATGAATCCATATGTTGCGAGCCACTGGACAAGAAAATGTGATTAAGAAGGTTATGTGGGATGGTACTGCCATGAAACCATGGATCATGAGAAGTACCACATTTGCAACCCTAAAGAGCCATGACTCATTAATGTGGGAAATATCTTAAATAGGTTTGGCAGTTTGATTGTCCTTTCGAAGGCTGTTTCAGCTCTGGGAACCACTGCTGTTCACAATACTCTACTGGAGGCCACAAGGTAGTTTTACAAAAAAAAACCCCACAAATGATTCCATTGTCTTTTCACACAACACCTCCACAGTGTACATGGATTGACCTTCTCTTTGAGTTTTTCACCATGACTTTCTGTCCAAATTAATACTTTAAGTCAGTGGTGAAATCCAAATTTTTTTACTACAGGTTCTGTGGGCATGGCTTGGTGGGCGTGGTGTGGTGTGGCTTGGTGGGCGTGGCAGGGGAAGGATACTGCAAAATCTCCATTCCCACCCCACTCCAGGGGAAGGATACTGCAAAATCCCTATTCCCTCCCCACTCCTGGGGGAAGGATATTGCAAAATCTCCATTCCCACCCCACTCTGGGACCAACCTTGGTGGCGCAGCAGACTAAAGTGCTGTTAAGTAGCATCAGCTGCCTGCAATTACTGCAAGTTCGAATCTCACCAGGCTCAAGGTTGACTCAGCCTTCCATCCTTTTGAGGTAGGTAAAATGAGGACCCGGATTGTGGGGGCAATAAGCTGACTTTGTATAAAAAAGAACACCACTTAGGGGGGCCTGAAAGCCCTACTAAGCAGGTATATACAAAAGTATGAAGGCTATTGCTTAATGCATTGTAAGCCGCCCTGCGTCTCCGGAGAAGGGCGGCATATAAATCAAACTAATAAATAAATAAACCAAACATGGTATTTGCCGGTTCTCCGAAGTACTCAAAATTTCCGCTACCGGTTCTCCAGAACCTGTCAGAACCTGCTGGATTTCACCCCTGCTTTAAGTCAGCTTCTTCACAAAGCCACCACAGTTTCTCATACCTACAGTACCCCTACTATAAGTCCATGTTTTTTCCATACGCTAAATAAATAAAGTTCCTGATTAAACTGGAATATTTAGTCTATTTTATGAGCATGGTTCTTCATCTAGGAAAACACCAAAGCTTCTGAACTACAGCTGACCTTGCAGTATCACTAGAACAAGAATTTCTGAAAGGAGTTCCCTGAAGCAATGGGTGGAAAATAATCAAGGAGAGAAGCAATTTAGAACTAAGGAGAAATTTCCTGACAGTTAGAACAATTAATCAGTGGAACAACTTGCCTCCAGAAGTTGTGAATGCCCCAACACTGGAAATCTTTAAGAAGATGTTAGTTAACCATTTGTCTGAAGTGGTGTAGAGTTTCCTGCCTGGGCAGGGGGTTGGATAAGAAGATCTCCAAGGTCCCTTCCAACTCTGTTATTCTATTCTATTCTATTCTATTCTATTCTATTCTATTCTATTCTATTCTATTCTATTTCCAAACAAAGCAGAAACTCTTCTAACCCACTCCCTTCCAGGTGAAACATACCTTCTTAGGATTGTTTTCTCCGATGGCTTACAGTCAAATTCTATCATTTCAAGGAGAGCAAACTTTTCCAGGAGCAAATTCCCTCCAATAATGAGATCTCCAGGCCTGTAATAGTCCTTCACAGTACGCAAAGGGTTCCTCGGTGCACAAACACTTTGCATTATCTTGCAAGTTGTTGAAGGCAGGAGCCAAAAGAGAAGTAGCAGGAGAAGCAGCCCATTCATTATTCTCACCTTCCTTCTAGATCATGATTTAAAAAAAAATCTCATCAAGGTTTTTAGCACAGAAGAAGTAGACCGTGACTCTTGGTGGCCTTAATATCAAGTGGGCTTTCTCTTACCTCATTCGAGTCATCACTGAAGAGGAAATGGAGTCACGTTTTATGGATCACACAAAATTACTTCTTTGCAAAACAGACTAAGATGACATCTCCAGATCCTTTGGCAGAGTTCAGTCCTTATTTCATTCAAGCAGGTTTTATCTTGGAAGACTTGAGGATTGAGATCTACGGGGGATACATTAAAAATTCCCGTTCTTCCAACAATGGCAAGAAAAAGTACCATCCTACTCATTTAGCAATACTCTCCAGACAGCTGAAGGGGAAAACATGTTTATGTGCCTTGTTGTTGATCCTAGGAGCAGATGGACTTGAGGGTCAAGATGCAGGACAAGGTATTCGGCCTACCTGAAACTGAGCACCTGCACCCAAGATGGAGTCTGGCCTTTGCCGGAGTTGTTAAGATAGAAGAGCATGGTGATCAGTTGTAGCTTGTGAAATGCAGGTGTATGTGTGTGTAAGAACTGGTTTATTTATTCCTGCATGGTTAGGGATGATGTACAACCTTATTTCTCCTATATTTTTTTAAAATAGAGAGCAGGGTCTCAAGATTTCAGAAAAACAGAGTTGTAAATCACCTACTCCAACCTCACCCCCTTCAATTTTTATTTATTTATTTTTTAAAATTTGTATACCGCCCTTCTCCTAGTGGACTCAGGGCGGTGCACAGCCAAGTAAAAAACATTTCAATACAAAATTTAAAAATTTAAAAGAATTATACACTTTGGCCAAAAATTTAAAAACCTCACAACTAAAACCCATTAGACAATTAAAAATCTAATATCTCAGAAAGGGGGGGGGGGTTCATGCCAGCCCTGCTTGATGGAAAAGAAAAGTTTTTAGGGCACGGCGAAAAGCCGGGAGATCTGGTATCCTCCGTATCTCCGGGGGCAAATCGTTCCAGAGGGTGGGTGCTGCCACAGAGAAGGCCCTTCCCCTGGGGGTTGCCAGCTGACATTGCCTGGCTGACGGCACCCTGAGGAGTCCCTCTCTGTGGGAGCATACTGGCTGGTGGGAGGTTATTGGCAGCAGAAGGCGGTCCCGCAAATACCCAGGTCCGATGCCATGGAGCGCTTTAAAGGTGGTAACCAACACCTTGAAGCGCACCCGGAAGTCCACCGGGAGCCAATGCAGCTCACACAGGAGAGGAGTCACATGGGAGCGCCCCCTCGCTCCAATAATCCCCGGCGCGGCTGCATTCTGCACCAGCTGGAGCCTCCGGGTGCACCTCAAGGAGAGCCCCATGTAGAGAGCATAATCAACGAGAGAAGCAACCTAGGAGAAATTTCCTGACAGTTGAGAACAATTAATCAGTGGAACAACTTGCCTACAGTGGTGGGTTCCACTTACCTTCGCTACCGGTTCGCTATCATGACCGCTTGTGTGCGCCCCTGTGCTTTGAGCCCATGCATCGGTGTATGTGCAGAACCTGTGCATGCACAGACCGTCTGTGATGACATCCGGGTGGGTGGGCGGAGCCTCCCATCACTGCTGCTACTGGTTCTCACGAACCGGGGTGAACCGGTAGAAACTTACTACTGCTTCAGAAGCTGTGGATGCTCCAATACTTGAAGTTTTTAAGAAGAGGTCTGAAACGATATAGGGTTTTGTGGTTGAGCAGGGGATTGGACTAGAAGACCTCCAATTCGGTTGTTCTGTTATATTAAACAGAAATTTTGCTCTCCAAATAACCAATTTTTAAGCATTTTGTGTATTTTTATGTGTAAGTTTGTTAAACAAGCAAGAGACCGTCATATAACCTTGTTTTCCTCCCATCTTAGTAATGAACAAGTCACAACCAGTCATTTATTCT